TTGTTCAGTGCTCATCCTTGGGGTCAGTCTTACAGAGATCTTGACCATCTCTCGTTCCACAGGACATCATACAGGCCTACTATTTTGATGATGACAATCAATACTGACTGAACCTGAATAAACAGGAAGTGAGCCAGGGAGCAACTGGCCTAGACATTTTGATAAGACAGCTGTATCATAGAACGGAAATAAATTCAACCAAAACTCAAGAGTCTTTCATTTCACTGAAAATTTCTAAAGGTCCAGTAACTAAGACATGTTCAGATAGCCCCTCTGAAGTGAAAGGAATATTTCTGCATTGGGGAAAAGAACTCAGTCTAATTGGTCTTTGTGGGTTGAAAGCAACATATGCCTCATTTAGCTGCTTTACTCTGAGGCATTTGTTGACTAACAAAGAGCTGTCAATTCTGCAGTAGGTTACCATACAGGCTGTGACGCCACTTTGGCCATGCAGAACAATTGATTCAATGATACTTGATGTGTCGCTGATAAGGTACCATATATGGGTATTGGCAGACCCTATAAACAAGAGAGAAGGTCTTTAGCATTTGGAGCACAGTTATGCCATTTCTTGCAGGTAACTGTTCTGGCTTGATACAAGGCAATAGGAGAGACTAAACACTAATGGTCATTATTCAAAATACATTGTCCATCATAAATCAGGCATCTTCTGTGTAATTAAGCTATAAAACACAGCAGCACTCCATTATTGGGTGGAAGCACAGGTGGGCCCTGACTTATGGTGGCTTGACTTACAATCTTCTGACTTTATAACGGTGTGAACATGATGTGCAGTTGGTAGAAACTGTGTTCTGAATATTGAGTTTACTGAGTTTCGATCTTTCTACAGGTTTGTGATTCATGGCACAGCATCCTTGGAGGACGCTGGGAAACACCCACCACTCTACAGTGTTCTGCATTGCTAAACTATCATGTTTGGTAGGTTATATGTGCTAAACACATTTCTGTCTTACATTTTTTGTGTGTATATGTGTATGTGTTATGTGTGTGTGTGCATGTATGTGCTCATGCATGTGGAAGCCAGAGGTTGACTTTGGATGGCTTCCTCAATTGCTATCCACTATATTATTCTATTTTTGGCAAGGTCTCTCACTGAGTCTGGCACTTCCTGATTCTACTAGACTGGCTGGCCAGTAAGCCCCAATGAGCTTCTTGTCACAGCCTCTCCAGTGCTGGGGTTCCAGGCACACCTTAGCATGTGTCACACTCCACTTTTCTACATGGGTGCTGAAGGTTAAACACGGGTCTTCATGGCAAGTACTTCACCAACTTGTGACTCCAGTCTTTTACCTTATTTTTGACTGACGGTAGGTTTATTGGCATATAAACTGGGGAGCATCTGTGATATACATGTTTATCTTGCTTAGATCTTGAAAACGTATGTAAATTATATAATCAAGTGGCTCAGCTTTTAGGGGCTCCTTGCTGTATTGTGTTCATTTGTTCACTTCGTTCTCCATGTCGTGGCTTCACTGGGTATTCAGTAGACTGAGAAGTAATAAAAAACTTCAGGTTTTGTTTACAAATTGTTTCTTTATGATATGGCCACCCAAAGACAGATGAAGCAACACATGAAACTTTGTGTCCTATTTTGGGGAAAGATTTCATGTCTTTGGTTGTGTGAGAGATGGCTGTACCATATTAGGTAAAAAAAATTATTTCACTATTGTCTTTATTTGGGAATTAAAAACAAGTTAAAAGATTATGTATGAATGGCTTTGTGCTATGTCAACTTGGCTAAGTAGGAACTGTTTCCCAGAATCCTGGCATGGGTCTGGGTTAGAGTTGACAAAAGAAAAAGTTGCATGACAGCCAAAAGGAGTCAGGACTGCAGCTGCTGTTATCCTCTGAAGATATTTGTAGTTAGGTATTGTCTCAGCCCTTTTCTTTTGCTATAGCAGAATACCTAAGACTGGATAACATAGCAAAGAGAGGTTGATTTTGGTTCATGGTTCTGGAGGATGGGAAGTCTGACAGCATAGTGCTGGCATTTGCTTAGCTTCTGATGAGGGCCACATGCCACATCAACTCATGGTAAAATGTGGAAACACAAATGGATGCATGCAGAAGAAACAGAAAGGGGGTGAACTCTTGAGATTGCTGACCGTTGCCAGAGGAAAGCATAATCCAGCTATGCAGACCCAACCCCCATTACCAAGCCCCTCCCACTAGGCCCCACCTCTCACTCTGCCACAGTGACAGATTTCCACATGAATTTGGAAGGGGATAACATCATGTCTAACCTATCATAGGTTGCTGAGAGATCGTCTCAGGGACACTGGTAGTTTCCAGCTTGTTCTCTGGTCCTTGGTGAGAGATGGCTATCTTCCTCACTGCAGCTCTGCTGCCCATCAGCAGCCCAGGCCTGCTGCTCAGAGATGTTTCCACTTCTTTTTTGTTATCTTACCTTGCAGGTGGAAGTGTCTGGCTGCTTAGAAAATCAGCAACTTTGACTTGTCTACTAGTCCAGCATCAAGCTGAGTTGGTGCCTTTGTTGGGTCTTTTTCCCCCTAGCTTCTCACAATTGCCTAAAGGTATATTTATACAAAAGGAGGGCTTGCTGATAACCTGAGCTTGGGAGGGAAGGAGAAACTCACTGGATCCTTGAAGAAAGCACAGTGTATGCACTTTTCCATTCACCCACAGACATGTTCTAGGATTTATCCTGAGAGAGGGCTTCCTGTCAAATTTGAGTCCTGAGTACCCGAAACGTCAGTGTTCAGTTAAAAGGTAAATTTTGTTTATCTAAATAGATTGATCAGACAGCAGGAACTACGTCTACCAGTTTTGGTGCTCTAAGTTTGAGGAAAGTTATGTTAGTGAAATCAACTTGAATAAGGGGGTGGAGAGAAAGATGCTTACAGAGTTGGTCAGGGGGTAGATTGCCAAGGTCTAAATCTCAAGCATCATGCAAGTACAGCGAGTCTCAGGGAAAACGTGGTGTCTCCAGACATTAAACAGAAGAGCACAAACAAGAATACCAACGCCTATCAGTTTCTAGAAGGTCTTATTTCCAAAGATTCTTAAACCTGAAACTTTTATAGAATTCATTAAATCTGACTGTCTTTGTAGGGAAAAGGGACTTAGAAACATTGAGGTCCTGGAGAGAGATTTGCAAGTGAGCACAGAGCTTTAAATACATTGAGGAGATCCAGTATCCATGTTTGAATCAGGTGCTTCTAGGAGAGTCATTGATTCCCTCTGAGTCAGCTTGCTCATCTATAAAACACACAGGTAGGTCTAGACCACAGAAAGATGAGGCTCCCCATTCATCTCTGATCACATGGAGGCTGGAGAGGTACTGGGAATGGAGCATGCCCTGTCTAGGCAGGAGCCCATTACTGAGCAAGAACCACCGGTTTAGACCAGGTCTTCAGTGTTCTTCCCACTTACCAGCTTTCGGACTTTGTTTCAACTTCCTCCACCGTAAAATGGAAATGCTTTGGTATCTACTTGTAGGGGCTAAGTCAGATGCTTGTTCAGTCTTAGACCCACACTTGGTACGTGGCAGGAATCTTATTCAAGTCCACAACTGGTCTTAGATTGCATGTTTCCTACTCTGGTCTCCAAAGGCCATTCTGTGCATATAGCAGAACCAACCAGATATGTTTTATAAATACTGATTTCTAGATTCCAAAGTGTTGATTTTGGTTCAGTTGGTCCAGTTTAGGAATAGGGATCTGCATTTCTAGAAAGCTCCGAAGAAAATAATGGTCTGCAGCCTTGTTATACAATATCTGCTCTAGGCAATACACATGCATGTTCACATACTCATGCAAACTCACACTCACATGTACTTAAAGAAGTCTTTTAAAATAGGATTGTAATTTTTCTTAGCACCACAATAAAATGTGTTTATGCATTTATTTATATTGTTAATTCTTCTAAGGAATTTCTCTGGATAAAATGTGCCCTGTACCACACTGAGAATCAGAAATTCTTCATCCAACTTCCAAAAATACTCTGGGCAAAACCAACTTGGAAGGATGCGGGGGAGACATGTGGACATTCCTTCCATGTGATGGGACACATCTGGCTCTTAGGGATGAGCCAAATATTTCCCTTCAAGTTTCCCTCCAGATGCTAGGGGATGTGAAGATGTGGCCTGCGGGGTGAGCAATCTATCAGGCTTCCTCAGTCAGTTCAAAGGCAGTCTTGAGAAGAACCCTCACTGGATCCACTGCTTTACCATCTGCAGATGTTCAGGTCTTTTCACACAGATAGGCACACCCTGCACAACCCTCCTTCAGTTCAAAGACAACTTCTTCCACTTCTTTGCTCGCTCCTTCCACTTTACATGCACGTGCTGTGGAGGCCAAAAGCAGAGCGAAGGAGTGGTGTGCATGTGGAAACGGACACCCCGAAGCAAACAGATGGGTGGATGGTTTTTTGGCTTCCACAAAATCCAAATTAGGCTAATACTATTCAAATTCCTTCTCAGCCTGTGTTGTGCCTTCTCAAGGTTGCTGAAATTGAATTCAAAAGCCAAAAAACATATGCTGGCCAGTCTCAAAGAGCAACTGCCGATTGCAAACACATGACTTAGCAATGCACTAGATGTTATGGGTGACATTTGGTGTTGTTGATTAAGTGGGATAATCATAAGAAAAAACATTTAAATCCCTTGCCCTTGTACACAATACATGTGAAAAACTTTGATTTTAAAAACAAAGCACTAAGTGAAAAAAACAAAACAAAACAAAACTACTCTAATGAAAATGCATAATGACCCTGAAGATGGAAACTAAATTTTGGACTTGATTTTTACAGACGTCAATGGAAAATGCCACGTAAAGCAACATGCTCTGCAATTGAGTTTCTCGCAGCTCTGGATATAATTTCTGTAATGAGGGAGATGGAGACCCAAGAGTACAAAGATCCAGTATAGAGATATCTGAAGGTTGTACAGCAGAAAGTAGTTTTTCCATGTAGGAAACATGTCTGTCCCCATTGGTCAAGGGTGCCAGTGGTTACCTGGTTAGGGCCAAACCAAGTGGTTCTACTCAGAAAGCAGCCACGGGTCTTTGTTCTTGGCTCTGTCTGGGTTCCTTAGCTTTGCCGGTGATTCTTTGAAGGCAGGACTGGTCTTAGCAGTAATGGCTGGGATCCTGTGGGTGACAGTCGAACAGAGGTGGCCATGTCACCTGGAGGGAGTGCTGAAATCCCAAAGAAGACTTCGAGCCATCAGGCCATCACTGTTCTCAGTTTGTAACTTGTACAGCTGCCCCTAAAATAGTCCTCACTGTAAGAGGCTGTGTGGGTCCTGCTTGTAGGACTCTGTTGTTTTTTCTCTCTCCACCATCCTCTGCATAGCTTTTCTTTTCTTTCTTTTCTTTTTTTTTTTTTAGCTTCGGTTTGACTGAAGCAGAGTTGAGACAGAGAACATTCTGAATTTAGAAAAGTATGAGCTAAGTGCCACCAGCAGGGATTTAGAATTTTAATTCTATGTCCTGAGCTCCTGGCCAGGCTGGGTGCTCAGTGGTCTGCTCAGGATAGGGCACAACCCAATCCCAGAGAATGCTCCAAGAGGACAAAGCTCAGCTGGGCATGGTGTTGCAGGCCTGTCATCCTAGGTCTTGGGAGGTGGACACAGGAAGATCAGGAGCTCAAGGTCATCCTCAGCTAAGCTAATTTGGTAAAGATGGGGGACTGTGTCTCAGAGGTGACAGCTTGCTGGCATGCCACTAAAAATTCCCTGGGTATGTTTGCTGTCCCTAGTCCTTTGCTTTGGGGAACGCTTATATAAGCCTATGGATATGTGAAGAACACATTCAGGGAGCCTGTCAGTACCCACCAGTGCAGGGGGCTCTCCCTGAAGGTGACAGTTAACATTGAGCTGGATCCAGGAAAGAGCAGGTGTGGAGGAGGGATCAGCATCACCCAGCATGCTTGCTGTCCTGGGTAGACTGTCATTTTCAATGTTTCTCAAGCTTCTCTTCATTCTTGTCTCCCTAAGGAAGGAAATGAAACGGATTTTAAATTCTTCCTAATGAGAGAAATACAATGATGAGAAATAGAAATTTTTGAGCAGAAGTAAGTAATCTAATCAATGTAAGTCCCCCTGCCCCAATCTGTTTTTGTTCCCCTGGGGGGCAATGTCTCCTCCATTGAGAATGTATGCTTTTGGGGTCTAAATAAAGTTTCAAGTTGGTTTGCATGGCTTAGAGGGCGTAGACCTGGCTCTTTGGAGAGCCAGCAGTCCAGCCCTCTTCCATTTGCTGGGATGGTGAGGTGAGGTAGCTGTTAGAGGGACAGGAGTATTTGTCTCTCTTGTTTTCAGAGATTCCAAGACAGTGAGGAATGAGTTCCTCAGTTTCTGATAAAGAAAACAGACACAAAGATTATTAGTGTCTGTAAGTGATATGGGGCAAGACTTGAGAGCAAGAGTTCAAATGCCAGCTCTGCCCAGTGTTGGCTGAGTGACCTTAAGCAAGCCACTTACCTCCCCCAACTTCACTTTCCCAACCTGTTAAACTGGGGATAATATTTCCTCAATGGGTTTTGTGAGTATTTAATGATATTAGAGGTGCTTAAGACTTTTTTCATTTGAATCACATTTTATTCTTTTTAAAAATAATAGCATTACTAATGTGATTGCTCAGTTTCAGGAACATCAGGGGATGACGTAATACTTTTATATTTTGACTTGGGTGGTGGTGTCAGTTTTCCTTTAAGAAATGGTTAATAGCAGGACTCTGAAGAAGGCTCAGTGAGCAAAAGCGCTTGCTGTGCAATAGTGAGACCTGAGTTCGAATGCCCAGAATGCATGTAAAAGCTGGGTGGACAGTGTGAAGGTCTGTAATCCCAGCACTCCTAGGAGGAGATGGAGACAGGAGACTTCCTGGAAGCTTGTCTGCTGGTATGCTGCAGATAAACAAAAGAGACTGTCTCACAACAAGGTTGAAAGTGAGGACTGACACCAGAGGCTATCCTGTCACTTCCATATGGGCCATGGCACGTGTGCAACTGCATTTACACGTATAAACATGCATGAGCGTGTATACACACACACACTCAATGATTAATAGCAGATGCTCTTGGCTCTGTGGTTGGGAACTAGAGCTTGAGTAAGCAGCCTTGAGACTGGGTTGTTGTTAGCCATGGCTTCCTAAGCACCTAAGGCTTGACTTTTGGCTGTCTTGTTTACAAGATGTGTGAGCTGGTGCAATCCACTGCATTTCACTGTGTCCCTATGTGCCCTTCAGTAAAGAGGGAGAAATCATGCCTGTGTCATAGCGCTATGAGTCAGTGAGGCAGTGATGGAAGTAACAGTCAGATTTAATGTTCAGTCCTGGTGCAACTGACACTGTTAGCTATCACCTAAGCATTGATTTCCTCTTTTTAGAAAAAATATTTTTTAATTTTATGTGTATGAGTGTATTGTCTGCATGTATGTAGGTGCACCTGTGTCATGCAATCCCCATGGAGGTCAGAAGAGGGTGTCTGATCCCCTGGAACTGGAGTTACAGATGACTGTTAGCCACCATATGTGTGCTAGGAACTGAACCTGGGTCCTCTGCAAGAGCAGCCAGTGCTTTTAACCGCTGGGCTCTCTCTCCAGCCCTGATTTCCTCTTTCTAACAAAATGTGTTTTGACCAGACATCTGCCCTATCCAATGTAGTCCACAAATTAAAGGTGCTGACTCCAGCTGTAACTTTGGTCCAAGCTGATTGGCATGGAAGTTGGTTGGTGTACGGTGGTACTCTGTCTCCACTAGGTGTGCACATAGAGCCATCTGATAGCCATAAGGCCACCTGCTCAGGGCAGAGTAGTAAGGAACTGAGCAGAGGGACAGGAAGAGCTTGCACCTCTGAAGGCCTTGAGCCGCTTGGCTAGCTCCTCCTTCCCCTAGGCTTCTACTTACATGTGAGAATAAAAATTAATAAATTCCAGTGGCTTCTCTTCATTCCTTGCTTTGAAACTTTATATGAAAACAGTATTCTATGCACTGTGGTGGATACAAAGGAATCCGTCAGCCTGCATCTTCCAGAAACTGAAACTCTATCTCAGAAAGAAAGCCCAAAGAGCAACCTGAGGACAGGGGAGCAACCACAGTCTGCCTGTGATTGGATATTCATCTCTGGGTGGACAGGGAGGGTTGGGCTAAGGCAACCACAAATGTGAACATCTTGCACAGAGGGCACCAGAGCAGGAGCAAGCGCTGGCAGCGGGAAGTGAGCAGAGCAGCTTGGCTGCAGAATCCATGTAAGAAATACCAGGCAGAGCCCAGAGAGTCTGGATACCTGCGCAAAATTTGAAAAATCTAAAATATGAAAATAGGAATTCATTGAACGGTTTTGATCTGTGAAGTGATGGAATAAAACTGACTTTTTTTTTCAGTATCTTTGTAAGACGAGTCAACAGATAGAACTGCAGAACTCAGGTGCCAGTTTGGAGGTTCTGTTATACAGTTCCCCAGCACCACCCCTCTTTTTCTTTTATAAAAAGATTACTTTTAGATTTATTCTTTGACAATTTCATACATGTATGCAATGTATCTTGACCATATCTACTCCTACATCCACCCATTCCTCCCTCCCCTACCCCTCAAAATGCTCCTCCTTTTTTTTTATAATCTACTGAATGTAATTAGTGTTCCCCACATGCTCATGCATTCCCTAGAGCATGGGCAACCTACCAGGGGCAACACCCCTGAAGAAATATGCCTACTCCTCCCTCAGCATCCATCAACTGCCAATAGCTCCTCAGGTAGGGGCAGGGTCTCACCAGCCCCTCCCTCATCCCATTTCCCAGCCTTTTTGGATGTGACCAAAAGCTCACACAGCTTCCTTGGGTTCTGGTTCTGTCTGTTCCAAAGGTGTCGTCATGAGAGGCACTCTGAACTAAAGCAGAATGCAAGGTGTGAGGGTTTGTGTCTTGCTGTGTTAATTCCTTTTTATCTTATTTCATTTCATGCAGCTCAATTCATCCCTTCCCTCAGCTCAGGGCAACTCAGAGTGTTGAATGTGATTCTGATGCAGTGTTTCATAATCAAGCAGCCCACAATGCCAGGGTTCTCCTTGTGGATCTGTTTACTGTCAGTCTTTTTTGCTTACTATGTATACTATGACCTCTCATATAATCCAATGGTACTTAGACTAGAGGAGGAAAGGAAGGCTTTGCTCAAGTTGGAACAGGCTTTATTTTTTCAGATCACTCAATTCACAGAGCCCGAATAGATTATCTTATTATCACCTCTAGTGTATTTAACAATCTGATAGACTACATCTATTACAAACACCGGAGCTATAAGTTACATCATCAAACAGTGTTTAGTCTATTTAAAACAACTCAAGACCTTTCTGCAATTCATTAGCAATTGTAAGCATACCTACTTCATAATCTTAATAAATTCCTGTTGTCAAGCATGGTAGACGGTACAAAGTATTCCTTCCATGTGTTTATTTTCTTATTCATTTGTTCAACAAATGAGGCCTGCCATTTGTTGCATCATAACTGAATGTGGAGACCATCCCTCAGTCACCTCATCACCTTTTCCCTGCTCATCATGGGTGTCTTGCTCACTGTTCCCTTGGGACTCTCTAAGGCCACTTGGTCCTCCCTTGGTCCTTCCAACTGTCAGAGCTACTGGAATCTTCACCTTGTGGAGCTGGGTAATGCTGCATGATCTCCATTTGAAGGGTTTCCCATGACTGTTGTAGGATTTTCATGATTCTTCTAACTCCCCATGACTTCTTCCTTAAGTGCTAGAATCTTTAACACTCTGGTCTTAGGCCTGTCTCCTGCCAGGCCTATAGCCCTTATTGGGCCATTGAGGCATGTTTATTGGTGAATTCTAGGTTTCTCTCAAGCTGTTCTTTCTCTGGCGACTTGACTACTGTCCCTCCCTTACTACTGGAGGTCATCTCTTACTCATCTGAAAAATGAAGTCATTATTTCCTCCAAACCCGCTCCCCTTCCCACATTTTTTTGTCCTGACTAATGATGAATGTCATCAATGTCAGCTGATGCACTGTGGGGTTTATGGGTAAGACAGATGGTGTGGAAGACTATCCCATATTCCCTTCCACCTCCAGGGACTTGTGCCACTGATATCAGGAGGTAAATAATGGTGCCCACAGAAATAAAACACTAAAGGTTGGTCTTCGCTTATACATCAGAATGACTTTCTCTGAAATACAAATGGAATCATCAGCTTGAGATCTTTCTTGAGTAAAAGAAAGGGAAGTGGAGTTCAGATCTGGCTGTTGGCAGGCCATAGTGGGCTTTTGATGATTCTTTTAAAAATTTTATTAATTTTTTTGGCTGACTTATTTTATTTATTTTTTTCTTTTTGAGACAGGGTCTCCCTGTAGCCCCAGCTGGCCTGGAACTCACTATGTAGACCAGGTTGGCCTTGAACTGACAGAGATCCACCCACCTCTGCCTCCTGAGTGCTGGGATTAAAGGCATGCGCCACCACGCCTGGCTTGGTTGACTTATTTTTATTTTAGGTGTATGAGTGTTTTGCCTGCATGTATAGAAGTGGACACATGGGTGCAATGCCCATAGAGGCCAAAATGGGGCATTGTATCCTCTGAAGCTGGATTTACAGGTCGTTGTTAGCCAGCTGCCTGTGGGTCTTCTGCTGAGCCATCATCCCTTCAGCCCTGGCTTTTGCTTCTTTTAGTGGCCCTCTGTCATAAGGGTTAAGAAGAGAAAAGCTTAGGAACTACTTGATGTTTTGGCCCATTCCTGTTTTGTCAGGTGTGGACTAAGTAGACATTCTTGTCTCTCTGGGGGACCTTCATCTCTGGGGCTCTGATTCCAATGGTTTAGGTAACTCAGAGGGACATAAGCTATGTTAATGCCCTGATGCCTTTACACAAACTTTTGTCTCTAATGGAAATGCAAATTCCTTCAATTATCTCTCAATTATAAACATGGAAAGACCCAGCAGTTCCACTCCCATGTATAGAAATAATTGAAATCAAAGGCGTGTGTGAATCTTTGAATACTGATGTTCAGTGAGGCTCTGTTCCTGAAAGCCAGGAGAAGGAAGAAATCCACATGTCCATCAATAGAGAGACAAAGGAAAAGTGTATGCTCTTAAAAGGAAACATTATTTAGTCACAGAGTGCAATGAAAATCTGATATATGCTGCAAACTTTGAAAGTGTTATGCTAAGTGAATAAGTAGACACAAAAGACAAATTTTGTGTGATTTATTTATATGGAATATCTAGAATAGGCAAATTTATAGTCAGAACAGAGGTTACCAGGCCAGAGGAGAGTTAGGAGTTCTTGCTTAATGTTTACAGAGTCCTGTTTGTGGTGATGAGTCGTTTGGAAACAGTGATGATTGTTGCACAATACTGGATGTAACAATGCCACTAAAACACACACTGAAAAACAGCTGGTGTGGCTTATTTTATGTTATATATAGTTCACCACAGAAAAATACAAGTGGTGGGATGACATTGACCATTATAGCTTTTAGTGCGTGGGTTGGCCCACGTGACAGACAGCTGGGCCTGGTGTAACTACCTATGTACTAAAGTCCATCAGGAAGGAAAGACAGGTGAGGAGAGGCCTGAAGCTGCGTCTTCAAAGGTGAGAGAAAGGCCTGAGGCCTGGGCATCCTGGGCACAGAGTCATCTGAATCTTAGAATTCTGGAATTCTGGTGGACAGTTGTCTCATTTTTGCTGCGGGAATTTAGGATTTGCCGAGCTCTGGGGTGGAAGAGGCAGAGGCAGGGTTGGCTGTGGGCAGGGTTGGCTGTGAGCTGGATGAGGCTCTTTCTGAGGCTTAGCCCTGGAAGTTGGGCACATTGTGTTGAGGGCAGGAATAGGGGCTGGACTGAGAAAACGAATTAGGGTCAGACTGGGGAGGCCTTGATTCTAAACTCCTGGTCTGAGGCATCGGGGTCTTAAAAGGTGCTGGATAATCATGTGCTCTGGGTACTTGCGAAGGCTGCTTTGCCCCAAGTCGCCTCTAGGGGGCGCGCGTGTCCTCCCAGCTCCAGCCCTGTGCTTCACTGTGTGGCCAGGTGCTGCCTGCCCTTCAGGGTTTGTGATGATGCTGATCAGAACTGCCTTTCCCCAAGAAAAGGATGGCTTTTCTTCCCCTTGTTTTCCCTTAAAAGACACAAAAAGTAAAGATAAAAAGGCGCTCCTCCCTATTTCCTTCAAAGCACAGTGGCATCTTCAGATCTGGGCACTGGAAAGCTAAATAATTCCCGACGGACATAATGCGAGTTTGAAATGCTTTTCCACATCAAATTAAATCTGTCTTGGGCTGATTTCCTGGAAGTGTTTTTCATTAGAATAATAGCCCTCAGCTGGGAGATCACAGCGTCTGATACCACAGAAGGGAAACAGACAGGGGTTCTGGGAGTCCATCCTTGAGAGACTGCAGACACTCAGTGATTGCTTTAGGGGATTTTGCTGATAAAAAACTGCCCCTACCCTGGGCTTGTCCCCAAGGAAGAGGCACTAGATCTGGCACTTTACTCATTAAAAAAGTTGAATTGAGGGACTGGAGAGGTGGCTCAGTGGTTAAGCACACAGGTTGTTCTTGCAGAAGACCTGGGTTCATATCCCAGAGCCCACACGGTGGCTAACAACTGTCTGCAACTCTGGTTCCAGGGGATCCAGCATCCTCCTCTGTCCTCCGTGGCCACTGCACAGCATGGGTGCACTTATATATGTAGGTATAACACTCATATACATAAAAAATTAATTAAAAAAAACTGAATTGTAGAAAGAAAAAAAAAATATAGGCTCGACCAACCAACCAACCAACCAACCAGGTTCACTGAGAACCTATTGTCCATTAACTCTTTAGTGGCTCCAGAGTTAGAATGATTGATAAGACAGTCTTTGAAAGACAGTAAAGTTTATAGGCTGCGGATAGAGCAAAGCTCCATCAGTATTTAATGACCTTTTTCCTGTCTCTAACATGCCATTCTGTGTAATGCATATAAACACACTTCGTCTTACCTGCAGAAGCATCCAGACCGGTTAGAGGAAATCCTGAGATTCCTTTCTCTCCCTCCTCCATGATACATGACTTGTTTACCACAGGCTGTTAACAGCCTGGAGAGTGCCTTTAATCCTTAGCCAGGGTTTTTAAATATAATACGTCAATAACAGGTAATTATTCACTTTGAACTCTCTGCTCCTCTGCCCCATACCCTGCAGGATGAGGCTTGGAACTTTTAAGCACTGTAACAGATTCTTCCTATCAAAGTGTCAGAACTCAGAAGGCATCTGTCAAGAGGTATGTTTGCTTACTTTAATCTGCCTGCCCTTGCCCTCCTTTCACTTCTTACTCTTTCCATAAGCTTTGTGGATTATAGCATTTAGGACTAGTTTCATCCTGGTGGGTTTTCTTTAAGCCAGCATTGCTCAGGAGCCTTGAAGAATCTACCCCCATGCACATAGCCTTTCAGCCTTGAAGATTTGCATTTAGTCAAGTTTGTTCTTCCTGGCCTGACACGTTATTCCTGTTTACAGTGTGCCCAGGAAAATCCGGTCACATTCAAAACTTCCGTTTGCCCCACATGGATCTTTGATCTGAGAGCTTGCTGGTAGCTTGCTGTGTGTATACCAGTGTCTGGCCTGGGAGCAGCTTTCGCATGCATCTGGTGACAACAGGCACCTATTTGTTCTGGGGGCCACAGCTGGTGTTAGATGGTTTGGTGTTTGGCTCTTGTGAACTCCTGTTCCAACCCCTTTCAGAAGGCAGCTTTGCCCCAAGAAGCTCTGTCCAAGCTTTTGGTACCATCTGTGGGTTTTGAATTTATTGATTCAGTAGAAGCCATGTGTTCATCTTCCACGTGTTCCTTTTGAACAAGTTGGAGCAGGCAAATGACTGCGCTTACCCCAGTGCTAAAGTCTTGCATAGAGTACTGTAAGTTGGTTTCCGGTTCCGATGAACTCTTTCTTGCCCACGCAAGGCTCCCTTAAAGTATAAAGGGGTTTTTAGGCTGTTAGCTGAAGGGTGCATGTATATAGATAGGGTCATGTTCAGAAGGTCCCCATGCATGCTGCAGAGCAGAAGTTCAGGGAACTCTGCCAGTACCACCTGTCCTAGGGTCTCCCGGCAGTGGAACCCATGCTAGCCTTTGGACTCAACTTGAACAGGGGTTTTCACTGAAGGGAAACACTGAAGGAGCTACTTGACATGGGAACTCTTATTCATATTTTTATACTAAACGATCACATTGGATGATTTAATTCTATGATGTTATTGAGATGATTTTCTTAATTGCTAATGATTTTAATTCATTTTGAATTCAGATGTAACAAGATTTCACAGGATGCCCTGAGGTCTTTTTCGGGATCAATGACTAGTGAAGCTGAAATTGCCACTTTTAAGTTTGATTTCATCCTTGACCTTGCTGGTGACCTTTGGCCTATCACCTAGTCTTTCAATATCTGTTTCCCCATGATTGCAATGGTTACACAATATCAAAGGGTCCTTTGCATGCCATCAAGAACTTATATGATGAGCAGTATGTTTATGCTGAAGAGATAGAATACCTCATGCTATATCTGTACAATATGTCAGCAAACCCTTCATTTTAATCTGGATGTTACAAAAATCAATGTTCAGGGCTGGAGAGATGGCTCAGCGGTTAAGAGCACTGACAACTCTTACAGAGGACCTGGGTTTGATTCCCAGCACCCACATGGTAGCTACGAACCGTCCTTAACTCCAGTTCCAGGGGAATCCGAAGCCCTCTTCTGACCTCCGAGGCATTGCACGACACAGGTGTCCTCACAAACATACAGGCAAAACACTCATAGGAAAAAAAAAAAAAATCACAAAGGAAAAAAAATCAATGTTTGAGGGCTTAGGGTATAGTTCAGTGTCAAAGCACTTGTCTAGCATGTGTGTTTGATTTCTACATGCAAACTGTACTACGCTATACTACACTACAACACAACATGACATGACAGACATGAAATAGTAGTATACAACACAATGTAATAGCAACACTTGGATATAGTGAAGGTCAATGACCTTGTGGACTGACTGCCTTTTTCTCTTATTCAGCGGTTACCTTAGCAACAGGTGATGGTGCTGAGGGCTCTGGGTACACATCCGTGCTGTGGGAAGCAGGGGGAGCACTGAGGTTCTCTCTTCTGTCTTCTTCCTCTCGGATATAGCTCAGCAAAGAGTAGGGGAGCTTGGTGAGGGAATGTCAGATCTGGAGCTCCCCATATTTTTGAAATGCTGGTGTACCAGGAACATCCAAGGAAGCAGATATCCACACTTCCTGTTTCCTTGCTTTGTTTTTCGTTCTTTTATTTCTGTCACAGCTTGATGATCAGTTAGGCCTCCCCTGGCTGCTCTCGAAGGCCAGGGGCCCCAGACAGGGAGTCTTAGAAAGAGTGCTTGATCACTTTAATTTTAGGCCCAGGGGTACTTGGGGGTGTGTCTTTCCTTAGAAAGTTGTTAATTCCCACAACTTTGTTAGCAGTTTAGTAAACTGTAGGATTCTTGCCCTCACCACACCGGATTCCTACCACTGACTAGCTTTCTAGTTGAAGAGTTGTTAGAAATGTGGAATTCATCAGGATGAATTCCGGACCAAGCATGAGGAGCTGCCATAAATATTGATTGGCTGTTAGTTTATGATGTCAAAATGAATTCTTTATCACATGCTTGAATAATCTGTGAGAGTTCAATATGCTTTTAAATCACTATAGCTTCTTTGTTCATGTGACTGATTTATAAATAAGACAGTAAGATTTTTCTGAAAAAATTGAATGAAAGGGATGACTGATTGCTTCAAAGCTAAAGGTTTTAATGAATCCAACTGTAAATAAGTAGATTGACATATTTAAAAATAATCTACATAGTTTATGCACATTAAAAAGAGTTCTATGTAGTTAGTGTGCAGAAGAAGAAGGAGTTGGTGCCAGCCCACTTTTCAGAGGATTTTAGCAAATGGTAGGCAACCCCCAAGTGATAAATACAGGGCCTGTTAATAACCTACACACATCTGAGGCTTAGAAACGGGGAATACTCTGGGTAGGCGCACATTTTGTTCAGTTATATATGCTTCATTTGTACAGAGACAGTGTTACATCAGAGGGACCCAGAAGAGATCAGATGGAGGGGCAGGCAGGGTGTCTTGAAACCACCACAGATGGTTTCTAGTGGTAGTTAATACATTTTATCTGGGAAGATTGAGGGATATGAAATATTTACTTTCAAATAGTTAAAAGACTTGTGAAGAAGAAAGTAGGTTGTTTCCATGGGAGAACAGCTAACATTTCAGACAGAGAAAGTTCCTTCCAACATGAGGAATATCTGTTTCAGAGTATAGTTTTCCAGCTTTGGAATGGACTTCCTCTGAATGAGTAAGCTTCTAGGTATTAGACATTTTATATATGCTGTGGTGCTGGAGTACAACTAGCCATGTATTGAAAGAGAGATTGGATAAAACCTTTCTTTGAGGCTGTGTACGAACTGGTGTCTGCTGCTTCTTTCATTTGCTAGAAGGCCCCAGAAAACCTACTCCTGTTATTGACAGTATTATTATGAAGATGAGGCAAGTGTTAAAGGCTACATTTTAAAAGAAGACAAAAACACCACTTTCATATACTTGTGTCAAGTAATTATTAATTAGTAAGGGATTCACTAGGTGTCATGAGTGATTCAAAGAACTCAAGCAGTCTCTGCAGTCAGACACAGAAGGGTACAGAGGCAGGATAGGTGTCAAGCTGAGCAATATGCATCTGCAGGTGCAGAATGGGAACAGAGCTTACTAGCATCTGGGTGACAGTTGCTTCCCATGGACACAGTTGGTGCTCTTACAGAGATTCTTCTATAAGCTGATGTTTAACCATACAGCTGCAAAACAAGCTAGTCAAAGAAAAACAAGGCATCACCATCGTCCTATGGAGAAGATACGCAATGATTTCTTTTGCACTTTCAAAATCTTCCAACACTTTCCTTTTACAAGTTAGTGCATTTTCCAGGAAAATGGTCAATGTACAGTCAATGCTATTTAGTATGACTGTGGTTAATTTTTCCCAAGTTCCCTGGGGACAGATGAGCCACTTGGTGGCTGACTAATGTGAGGACCTCTTTGACCAGTCACCATGCTTTGCCTTCTCTTTGGAAATACTATCCACATCTCAGCCTACCTGATGCATTCCATCTTATTGTGTCATGACAGAGTTCCATCTTCCATCCCCTACAGATCAGAGCTTCTATGTTAGGAAATCTTTGTTTCTCTTGTACATACAGAAATCCTCTTTCTTCTCTTGATCTCTTCCAATTCTTTTTCAATTATTGTAGGGAATTTTTTCTATGACTTAAATTTGTGATTAAGAAAAGGTCTAATGCTGCTGTTCTATTAAATAAAGCATAATTAAGCTTAAAGTTATAATCGATGAGGTTTAAATTCAGTTATCTCAGCAAGCAAAAGCGAGATACCTATTATTTAAATTGTTGAATATTCAAAAATTGACACAAAATACTGTAAATTAAATATATATTTCCAAGTAGCTACATATAAAGATGTATATAAATATATAAACAATTGTGTTCTGGACTGCTTTAGTCAACGGCAGAATGCAAATGTGGAAGGGAGATTATGTTACTTAGTGGTGGTGTGACCATCTTGGTTTGTGTGAATACATTCTATGGTGTTTTCACAGCAATGCAATTACTTAACAAAGCATTCCTCAGAACATATCCCCACCATTAAGTGACACATGTCTCTATGTAAAAATAGATAAGTATTTAGCTTTGAGTGCACATGGGCTTGTCACCTCTGAGTCTTGTTGTCCTTGGTCCTGAGCCAGGTTTACACTTGGGACCCTGTGTTTCTTGTAGGCATAGTTCACAGGTGATCCCCATCCATTCTTTTTCAGAAACTCTAACCCAGGGCAGAGGAGACTGGTGAGTGGTACATAGAAATTGATGCCACTGAAAGATTTCCAAGGAGAAGTTCAGACAATATTCCACATAATATGGTATTGGTCCACCAAAAACTATTAGAACTAATAAACAAATTTAGTAAAGTCACATGTCAAAAACAAAGACACAAAAGCCAGTTGGGATTCTATACACTAATAAAAACTCTGAAAAATAAGTTAAGGAAGCATTATATGTATAGTTGTGCCAAAAAATAAAATATTACCGGGTATGGTGATGCGTGCATGCCTGTAATTTCATCACTTGGGAGGCTGAGGTAGAAGGGTTATAAATTTGAGGCTAGCCTAGGCTATGTCATAAGAACTTGTCTCAAAAAATCAAAATCAAATATTTAGGAGTAAATTCAACCAAAGAATTAAAAGGTCCATAGAGTGGAAATGACAAGACATCGAAGAAAGAAACTGAAGATGACAAAAAAGTATGGAAAGATATCTCATGTCCATGGGTTAAGAGATGGTTCAATATTAACAATGTTAACATTTTAATGATAATAAATTCTAATACCATTCTTCACAAAATCCCAAATTCATATGAAACCATAGACCCTGAATAGCCAACATGAAAAAAGGAATTTCACCACTTGATTCCTTGATCAAAAAGAAATTTCACTACTTGATTCCAAACTATATTACAAAGCAGAAATTATGAAAGCAATGTAGTAGTGGCATAAAATAGACACCGTGACTGGTGAGCAGGGTAGAACACCTAGAAATGAATCCGCAGAGTCAATTGAGTCCCCCGCCCCCTCTCCCTCTTGTTCTCTCTTTTTCTGTCTCATTTGACTTTTTGAGACTGGGTCTCACTTTGTAGCCCAGGCTGACCTGAAAATTACTATGTAGCCCAGGTTGCCTCAAACTTAGGGCAGTCTTCCACTTTAACCTCCCAAATGCTGAGATTCCAGGTGTATGCTGCCAGGTCAGCTAACCAATTGATTTTCAAAAAAGGTGGTAAGAACACAAAATAGAGGAAGGATAGTCTCTTAGATAAGTTGTTTGGGAAACTAGATGTCCATCATTTTCCATAAACACTAGAAGAATTAAATTTGACCTTTGTTTAAGTCAAAATAGGGTAAAGATTTAGATGCAAGACCTGATACTGAAATCCTACTAGAAGAAAATATGGGATGTTGGTGCGGGCAGTGATTTTTTTAAAATATAACTCCTAAAGCAAAGGAGACAGGCAGTGGGATTGCATTGCATCGAAAGGGCCTTGCACAGTAAGGCAAACGACAGAGTGGAGAGACAACTCACAGACAGGGAGAAATATTTTCACATCACACATCCAAGAAGAGGCTAATATCTAAAGTCATAAGAAAACATACTATATGATTGAAAAATGGACAAAGGGAGGCTGGGAAGATGGCTCAGTCAATAAAGTACAAATGTGAGGGCCTGAGTTTCATCCCTAACACCTGTATAAAAAGCTGCATGTGGTGACACATGCTTGTGATTCTAGTGCTGGGGAGGCAGAGGAAAGTGGATCCCCAGGGCATCAGTGAGCCCTAGGTCCCAGTGAGAGACCTCGTGTCACAAGGCGAGGTGGACAGCTCCTGAGGAATGAAAGCCAAGGTTAGTCTCTGGCCTCCATACACATGAGCACACATGTACACCCACCACTCACACCTGAACTCACATTCACATACACACACATTCATAAATGGACAAAGAATCCAAATAGCAATTTCTCAAAAGACACAGAAATGGCAAATCTGTATCCTCGATCATTTGAGCAATGAGGATTAGAATCACAAGGAGCTATCTCACAGCTGTTAGAGTGCTCCTGAGAATGTGGAGGGACCTTCCACACTGCTAGAGAGGGTGTGAATTAGTGTAGCCATGACTGAAGATAGTGAGGAAGTGCCTCAAAGAGCTAAAAATAAATCTACCATCTGATTTCAGTTGTACTTTGGGGTATTAATATTCCCAAATTTGAAATCACTGTGTTGAAGAGATGTCTGCACCCCATGTCCACTGCAGTGCTATTCACAACAGCCTACTTACACTAGCAATGTTTCTGTCAATCAACAGAGGAACAGGTAAAGAAAATGTGGCACATCTACACAGTCAAAATATTATTCAGCTTTAATAAAGAAGGAAATTCTTTCGTTTGGCACCTGGAAGGCATGCTAAGTAAAATAAGCCAGGTACAAAAATGATAATGCCAAAGCTTGATTCTCTCTTGTATGTTGATTCTAAGGGAGTTGAATTAATATAAGTAGAGTTGAGAACTGCTTACCAGGAGCTTGGGGGGGGGTGGGATGGGAGGTGGGAGGGAGAAGGGGAGGACA